GGACCCTACGGTGCTACAGGGTTTAGGGCTTTAGGGTTTTAGGGTTTGGTGTTTAGGGTTTTAGGGTTTAGCGTTTCCCCCAGAGGTGAGACCACCCAAGGCACATTAGTTGGCCGATGGTTCATGTCTGCAATGCATCCCAGCTGTTCAGGGTTCGGTTTAGGGTCTACCTTGAATTGACCTACCCAAACCCACTTTTGTTATAGGTTCTTATTATAAACCTGAATATGGGATGTATAGGGACTCTACAAAAAATAGTTTCTGGTGGGTTAAGGTAGCGTTTAGTATTTAGGGTTTAGGTGTAACTCCAAGCAGAACTCTTCTGTGCGATCGTCCAGGCGGACATTTGTTCTTACAGCACAAGGACTTCCAAGTTCCGGTCCACGTCATGATCGTGTTCTTCAAGGAACCCTAAACCCTAAACCCCTAAACCTGTAGACCCTACTATCCTGCAGCAGACATGGCTATACTATAGAGAATACATAAACTAGGCTCTGCCCCAACCCCAAACCCCATATGAACGCCTGAAGCAGCGGCGCCGGACATGAAACAGTCGAACCTGTTCTTCCTTTTGTTCTTTCTTTCGTTCGTTATTTCTTTCTTTATTTATGTCTCAGGCTCAGTCCAATCCCGTATACATGTGTATACTTAGGGTATGCTTGACATTCCAAGCACACCACAGGAGCAGGAAGGGTGCTGCGTCTTTGATTCTGTTCGTTCGCTCGTTCGTTATTTAATCATTATTTCGTTCGTTCGGTCTTTCGTTCTTTATGTCTGTCTGGATTTAGTTCTTTGTTTCGTTCGTCCTGTATTTATTCTATATTTCTGTCTTTCTTGCTATGTTTCTATCTTTCTACCTATCACTATCTATGTATATACATATATACCTATACATATTTTGATCTTTGTTTCGTTCGTCCTGTATTTATTCTATATTTCTGTCTTTCTTGCTATGTTTCTATCTTTCTACCTATCACTCTCTATGTATATACATATATACCTATACATATTTTGATTGGCATAAATCAACATGAAGAAACACATACATGCATGCCCAGACAGGAAACCTAAACCCATGAAGCCAACGCCTGCAATCAAACCCCGCTTTGTTTTAAAACCCCCAACGCTAAAACCCAAAAACCCTGAACCCTAAA